TCTTTTAACCGCAAAGACAACACGAAAAAATGTTTACATGCATGCACGCTGAGTAAGAGTTGAATGTCAGAGAGATAAATGAACAGGTGAAGAACAATAAGAAGAAGAGACGAAAAAAAAAGGAAAGATGGGAGGGCGGACAGAGCAGGTGGGAGGGAGAAGCAGAGGAGGAAGAAAGAGGCATCGTGGAGGGGAAAATTAATTGCCTGCTGCAGGTTATTGGCTGGCTGCACCGCCACAGAGGCTGCTGTTGTTCCAGCGTGGGGAGGATGCTGCAGAAGAAGAGAGAGCGGCGAGCAGAGAGCTGCAGATCTCTGCTGATTCCTGATGCACCGCCGGCTCCTTTTCATCCGTCTGTAGAGAGCCACGGCCGCTCAGACTGGGAGGGAAACGCCACCAATCTGTTTTAATTTGGAAGAAAGCAGAAGGAAGACGAGCAGGTGGGGACACAAGTGTGCCGGTTTTACCCACTTCAGGATCACCTTCTGTGGGAGGAGAAGGCGACTGATTCCCCGGGGAAATCAAGGAGTGGACGGTTCCCAAAACATCTGGAAAGGTGCAGCTGGAAATATTCTTTAAATGAGATTTAAAATGAAATCACTTTGGCGAAATCCTGTTTAGATTTGCTTTTTCTTCCAGGGGGGGCTTTGGAGTTTCTGAATTTTACTTCTTCTTGTAAAGCTGAACTTCAAAAATCCTCTTCTTATCCATCTGCAGTTTCAATTCCTACATATTTTATCTATGAAAGTCTTATTTTCTGATATTCCAGTGCAGTAAATTGTCTTTTATCACTGGGATGCTTGAACAAAGCTGAGATGAAACATTCTTCATGATCTTATTTGATCGACTGATTATTTTCTCGATTTCTCCCAGAATGTCAGAGTCGGTAGGTTTGCATGACTGAACTTCAGGTTTTGATCCTTCAAGTTAAAGAAAAAGCCACAAATCTTGCAGTTTGACAAACTGAGCCTGAACATTGTTGGTAAATTTTATTCAGTGTTTACTGATTTACTGTTGATTTATTCAGTGATTTCCAAATCACGCTTTCTGCCTTGAAAAAAAAATCCCCAGCATTTAAAATCTTTTATGGTCGATCTGCATTCCTGCTCTCACCAACAGCTGTGAGCTGATGAGCAGTGAGTGGTCTCATGTCGTGGATAAACCTCTTCTTAGGTAAAATACTTTGTAGCAACATTAGTATGAAATGTCAGCGTTAGCTGCTGTTCATCTGCAAACCACTTTGGAACCCACCCCCACCCTTTCACACTGTCTGACTGAATCGGTGTCATATCTGATGTTTGGCTTTCTGAGGTTAGAGTGAAATGAAAGGGCGGGGTGTCAGAACAGAGCTATACCTACAAACGCTGCGAGAAAACAGGATTGTGGTTGTTTTGTGACAGTTTTCTGCTTTAACAGTCCGATCGCACAGATTTACCTTTCAGTCCGATTTGAAGTTTAAAGGTTGACATATTTTCACTGGATTGATTCCTGATAATAACTGACAGGATGAGCATGTCTGTGGGTCTGAAAGGTCAGCTGCACTGATAATCTCTCGCAGGGCAAAAAACTCAATGACATTCGAACAAAAACAAAAAGCTTAAAATGGAAAAGATTAAAAGATTTTGAGCAGCGAGATCAGCTTTTGGCTGCAGACATGTGAGTCTATTCGCTGCTCTGAGCAGAAGGACAAAGAACAAATTCATAGAAATTCAGAGAAATGAGCAAAAACCAAGCCTGTGTGTGTTCATGTGCTCATTCAAGAACCTCTTTCTTTCTGTTTTTCTGCGTCTCTGTGTCCAGGAGCGAGACTAAGCCGGATTTAACCTCTGTAGAGAAATGACGGAGCAGCAGAGGAAATCAAAGGATGAAAGAATAGAGGAGGAGAAAGGAGAGAAGGCCGGTACTCTCAGGGTCTAGCTCCTCTCAGAAAACCTGCCGGCTGCTCCTGGAGGAGGATTTTTTGGGGAGATTACGTGGAGATAAAGTCAGCTTCATGGCAGACAGAGGGCGACTGTTTGAGGCTGAAGTTTGCTGAAACAAAGCCGGTCTTCACCTGTGTGGATTATCTCACCTGGAGGAGGATTTTTGGGGATTGAGGAGTTCACAAATTGATTTTTCTTTCTGGTCAACAAAGATTTAAAGATACTTGGAATTCAGTGTGGTGACCTAAACACTGGAAATTTCATCGACTGAGGAAAAGAATTCGTGTAATTTTCTGTTTAGTGGCACATTTGGAAAATACAGATCCAGCAGCCTTGGGTCGTTTGCTGAATTAGACGCACGTAACTGAAAATCAAAGTGTCAAAAAGGGATTTTGAGAAATTCCCAGAATGGCATCTCTCCATTTAAACGCCTTTCACGCTGCAGTTTTTCTCTCCCTCTGTTTGTTTCCTGTGAACACACTTTTTTAATCCTCTCTCTTTGTCTGGGTGCGTGTCTTCTGCTCCTTTTCCCTCTGAGACGTCTGACAGGAATCCTGTGCTGGATCAGGGTGCATAAAACAGGTGCTGATGACAGATAACAGGTGCAGAGAGGCGCAGGTAGACTCTGATAAAGCCAGATAACTGATGCTCGGTGACAGAAGCAGCAGGTGATACAGGCTGAATGTGCTTCTGCAGAGAGTCGATCCTGCCTGTCATCTTTCTGCAGGCTAATCGAGGACAGTCTGTGGGCGAGGTGGGCGGTGATAAAACCGGAGGGAGACGCTGTTCTCTGCAAAAAACCAACATGCAAAAGGAGAAAAGTTAAACAGCCCCGAGCAGCAAGTGAGCAATAAATCTTTACTTAGAATGAAAAAGTGAAGGAAAAGATTCAGAAACTGCAAAGCGCTGATTTATAAAACAACCTTTTACACAGAAACATGCAGGCACAGGAAACACCTGTCAGCAAATATTCATCATCAGATCATTTTGGAGCTCACAGGTTTGTCTTTGAAGAAACTTCAGCTCTTTAACACAATAAAATAGTTTGCAAAACTAAATGTGCTTCGAGACTTTGCAGCTAAATTTAGATTTTCTGGGGGAGGAACAGCAAAAAGGACTGAAATCAGGCTCAAGGAGGAAACAACATGTGATATTCAACTGGATATTAAAACACACAGACATAAACTGAGAGACGCAAAGTGCACGTGGCAGAGACCGATGTGAGCCGTTAGTGAACCAGCAGGAAATGCATTTTTAAACTTTATAGTAGACACACAAAAGTGCACAAAAATGACAGATTTACTGATATAACATGGCAGCATTTTCCATCTGCACACATCAAAGCTGAGTGCAAACGTAACACTTTAGATGGAAACGCTGGATTCAGAGAGGAGAGGCTGAAATGTGGAGTCACTGCTAAAAGCACAAATGCTGCTTCTCCTTTCTGACCCTACAAACGCATCATTAATGCCACAGTGCTCAAAGCATTTAGCTCTAAACACAACCAACCTTTCAAAAAACACAAACGCACAAACTTTGATACGTAAAGTAAAAAACAAATCTCTTGTTTGGTTTGTTAGGTGAGCGGTTTGGGTATAAAACCACATTTTAGAGTTGAAACAGTAGAAACAGATGCTGGCGGTTTCAAAAGAAAAAGAAAGTTCTTTTACTTCTGCACAGACACGATCAGCTCGACTTTTGGACAATGTTTACAGAGGAGCCGCGGGCTTCTTATTTCTTGTGGTGATTCAAACCCTCAGATGAATTATTGAGAGCTCTTGATCCTCTCTCATCAAGAAACGGTTCCAATCTTTTATTGAAGCTCTTGGCGTTTTTACAATATTTCAAAATTTCTGACACAAGCCAGCAGCCTGTTAGAGTCAGATTGGGGGAGAAGGAACGTCGCTCTAAACGCTCACTGATGTTCACATGAATTATTGAAGCGAACTGAAAACAGTTTACAACCGGGAGAAGAGTTCTTTTCTTCAGTTCTTATTAACCGTCACAGGCCTCAATTCCAAACGCACCTCAGGAGACACACAAACTAACATTTAGCTGGAGAGTTTGTGTTTGATTAGAGGCTCAGATTTAACCCATTTTGGAAAAGCAGGAAAAAGAATTTTTTAAGCTAAGAACCTTTTCCTTCCTGTTTGCAGGAACACACACTTTATTTAACCAAACCAACAGAGATCACACAAACGTCATCCTTCACTGAGTTTGAAGTTTGTCGTCTATAAACTTTCAGCTGTTACATTTACTCTAAACAGAAGCTGAAAACACACAATTTGCAGTCACTTTCTTCTCCATCAGCTTTCCTGCGCTCATCATTTTTTAAAAGCACCACGATTTGGATCTATTCTGTTTTTATGCATCACTCTCGCAGAAGCTACCAAATTTATTCAAAACAGAGAGAGAAGCAATTTGTTTGGTCATAAAGAAAAAATCAAACCGTTTTTGCTGCAAACATCCAACAAAGTGAAGCTTAAGTTGATTTAAACTATTTGCTATCTGCACTGAGACTACAGCTGAATGCTGCTGTAAGCACACGTGTACACTCTCCCTGTGGGAGCCGTGAACCAGCACTCGGACTTCATCCTTGCATCAGGAGAGATTCAGCCGCTGTTCGTTTTTGCTTGAACAAACTGAACTGATTTTTCATGTTAACAGTTTCAAGCACAAACCGGAGATCGCCTTCCTCCTCCTCCTCCTCCTCCTCCCCTTTCCCCCTGTAGGGCTGAAACAATCTACCGTGCATGAATAAAAATTAATTTTGATGAAAAGTGTCTCGCCTCCTCGCTGGCCGCAGGACGCCAGATAAAAGCTGTTTACTGCAAGGAGCAACAGAACGCAGCCTTTTTACGACAACAACGGAGCCGAACGGCGTTTGTGCTGCTTTTGTCTTCGTTTCATCATTATTTCTGCTTGTGAGTGGGAAACTGTGAGAAACAGAGAAGTGGGTTTTACTTTTGTCTTTAGAGCAGAAAAGAGGACACGACGCAAACTCAGCTTGACTCTCAGCTGGGGTTTCCCTTTCTTGTCTTTGAAAGAGAGCTTGTGACTTTGAGCTGATAAAAGGAGCTGCACATGTTTGGAGACACTTCTGGGGCTTCTCAGATGAAGTGGAAATCTCACTTTACTGTATAAGAACTACAAGTACCCTACTTTGGTGCATATTTGTCTAAAAACTGACTGAGTTTGAAGAACAAGCACAGATCTGCTATACAGCTTTTACCTGTTTGAAATAAATCAGCATAAATTTGAATCATTTTTTGATACATTTCTTGACAGATTTCCTCGCAGCCTTGTGGCTAACACAAAGAACAAGAATAAAACTTTTTAGATACGCGATCTTTATCACAGAATAAAGATTTCACTTCGTTTTGGCTCAAACCTGATGATTTGATGTCAGTTTGGAACCTCATTTTAGGCCAAAGGTCAGTGGGTGATTAAAAAAGGTTAAACAAGCAAGATCGCGAACACTGACCCGGACACATCAGATTTGGAGGTCAAAGGTCAGACAGACAAGCTGGATTATCGATACGGACTGGCAGCTGTTTCCTGAGGGACCTGCGGTGACAGAGAACAGACGACAGAGATTCAGATCAAGAGGACAGACAGACCGAGACGCCATCATGGGCTGCAACATGTGCGTGGTCAAACGTCCAGAGGAGCAGTACAGGATCATGTTCCAGGTAAGAAATCTGAGTGCTGGTGGCTGAAGCTGCTAAAAATGCTCAGTTTATTTTATGATGTAAGCATTTTTGAGGGGCAGCCAATCAGAAGAAAGTTAAAAAAGGACATCAGAATGGCTCATTTCAGATACGGATGTGTATCATCTGAACGGTGAAGCTTGCAAAGAAATACCAGTTATTAAAGAACTGAGGCAGAGCAAAAGTTTGGTGTTTGCCTTTGAACCGTGCAGTGGGATAAAGTCCAAAGATTAAAGAAGGAGATAAAAATAAATGCAGATGGATTTAGGATTCATGAGCGCTCACAGCCGAGAGGCGAGGTGGAGAATGTGAATTCATCTGCTTTGGTTTCAGAGAGAGAAACGAAGGTTGAGTAAAGACTGTGTGTTTGTGTGCGTTGATACAAAGCGTGGCACCATTCATCACTGCAGCTCGGTCCAGTTACTCTGTAAAGGTCGCGGTGTTATTCTGTCCAGTGGAGGCTGAAAGTCACGAGAGACTCAGCTTTCAGCGCGTTTGTGGAAACATAATCTGATTCTGTCCTTGTAATTTGCTTTTTTAGCATTTCTCTCAAATCAATCCTAATTCTGTTGGCACTTCATTGATCATGTTATGAGGATTATTTATTTTTCAGGAATGAAACAACCAGTTCATGACTCCAGATTTACCTCACAAGACAGCTGAATTTTATTACAGTTTAAAAGATAAATGAAACCTCTGATGTTTTCCATTCACCAAGACTCTTTTCAAACTTTAACATTACAGTTTTGGTTGCTGTTTTCTTGGGCGTATTTGGGTTGTCTGACGACAGCTAAAACAACTGGCAAGAAGTACTCATGAAACAAACAGACATACTAATAATGCGAATTTCACTCACCATAACTCCATAGCAGCACATATTGTTTTTATATAATTGCATAATAAACAGCACAAAGTCCAGTTTATTACAAGTTTACAATGATACGATAACCAGTGTAAATGACAGTGAAGAGTGCTCTCCTGAGAATAAAAGCAAAATAAAATAAAATGGGTAAGTTTCTTTAGACCTGACTCCTGATGAACAGGATATTGTGAGTTCAATAGTTTTCCAGAGGAACGAGCTGTATTGAAGGAAATGCTTGTTGTCTGTGGTTCTATGACTGGAGCTGTCCATGGTGCTGAAACGAGTCAGACTTTTCTTCTTACATCACTGCTCCTACATCTGTCTCATTTTAGTCAAGCAGGTTTGTTGTACTTTGTAAAGTCCAGTTTATATACTGCCTATCTTCATCCTTACCTTATACAGAGTGCTTAAAACTACATAGCATAATAAAACAATGAAATACGTAATATGTAATTTAGAATATGTACTGAAAGGATTTCATTGGCAAAAGATTAGATTCTGGGTGAAAACTTCATTAACTTGTTGTTGTGCTCATTCAGTGATGAAAGAATTTGATATTTACATAAACTTAGCTTTTACTTTCCAACTTTGAGAACTGTATAGAGTCAAATACCAACAAGTTATGAACAAGTGTTTAGGAGTGAGTAGCTCTACTGAACTGCACTGTATTATTCAAAGAGTTGTTTCTTTTACTTAGCTAGCTAACAGGGTAAACGTCAGAGTGAACATAACTGGCTCCTTTGAACACAGAGAGTTAAAGTGAGCATGTGTGAAAATGTTACACATGGAGCAGAGCTCAGTCAGAATGAATGAAGTCAGTGACACAACATGAAATATACATGAACACACGTGGTTACTGCAGCTGAAATTCTAATTGGTTAAAATAAGGCACACACACACACACACACACACACACACACACACACACACACACACACACACACACACACACACACACACACACACACACACACA